GAGCAGTATTTTTTATGTTATCCAAAAAATGTAAACAAAGTAAACATCTATAGATTGGTGAATGGCTAAATAAATTGTGGTACATAGGTGTAATGGAACATATTTCTGAACTGTAAGAAATGAAGAATATGAGAAGCATAGAGAAGCATGGAAAAACTTTGATGAAATGAAGTAAAATGAACTAAAGGAGGCAGCGAGGGAGCTCTACAGTGGACAGAATGCTGGGCCTGGAGTCAGGAAGACCTGAGTTCAAATCCAGCCTCAGACACATTTTGGAGCAGAGTTTGAGATGTGGTACTTGTTAGGTCCCTTTCCTTCTCACTTTTTTTTTCATAATTTCCCTTGTTCTTTTCATAATGCAAAAGAATTTAAAATTAAGTAAGTTCCCATCAACTGGGAAAAGGCTGAACAATTTATGGTATATAAATGTAAAGGAATCCTACTATATAGTAAAAAAAAAAAAATTATGAAAGGCAGGGGTTCAGAGAAACCTGGGAAGCCTTGTACAGACTGATGCAGAGTACAGTGAAAAGAACCAAAATTATCATTTTTATATAATAACAACCTTGTCAAGACAAACATTTTCTAAATATTTAAGCACTCTGATCAATGTAACGACCAACCAGGATTCCAGTGGAACAATAATGATGTGTGCTACTCGCTGCCTAACAGAGATCTGATGGACCCAAGATGACATATGAGACAGCTTTTTGGAAATGGCCCATGAGGCAATGCTTTTCTTAACTACACATTTGTCGCAGGTTTTTTTGCATTTCTCATTTTATTTTCCTAATGGAGGGGAAGGTACAAAGGAGAGGAAATAAATGGTTGTTAATGTGGAAAACATTTTTTTTTAGAGAAGTACACATCCGTCCAGCTGCATCCGTGCAGAGGTATGGCCCCAGGTTAACAGTGGCACTGGAGTTCAAGACCAAACCAGAAATGAGCAATTGGAACCATGGGTTCTGGAGGTGGTGGCCACAGGGCCTGACAGAGCCGTTGGAGCCAAGGCGGGAGAGGCAGTCTAGAAAAGATGCCAAAGCTGCAGGGGTTTGAGTTCTGGAGACATACTTTGCAAAGGGTACATTATGTAGTTGCCCCCATGGTAGATCAAAGTGAACTGTCTTGACAAGGGAACCAGAGCGCAGAGGCAGTTGCGGCGCGAGGAAGGCAGGACTGCAAAGGACCGAGAGGCCACTGCCCCCAGGAGTCTCCTAAACAAGCCCAAGAGTGAGATGACCCCTGAGGAGCTGCAGAAGCAGGAAGAGGAGGAACTCAACACCGGGCCCCTGTCGGTGCTCACCCATTCTGTGAAGAACAACACCTAAGTTCTTATCAATTGCTGAAACAAGAAACTTCTGGGACGAGTGAAGGCCTTTGACAGGTACTCCAACATGGTCTTGGAGAACGTGAAGGAGATGTGGACAGAGGTACCCAAAAGTGGCAAAGGCAAGAAAAAGTCAAAACCAGCGAACAAAGATGGTTACATTTCCAAGATGTTCCTGAGGGGGGGGATTCCGTCATTGTGGTCCTCAGGAATCCCCCCATTGCTGGCAAGTAGAAGAGCCAGAGCCTCCCCTTCCCACCCCCACACTTGGCTCAGCCCAATAAGGCTGAGGAGTCCACTAGTTTTACCTTTTGTGAATAAAACCTTGCTGTTTTAAAAAACAAAAAAACAAAGTGAACTGTCTTGAAGACTATTGAGCCATCACCATTGAGCTCAGCTCTGTTACGTGCCTTTGTTACATGCTCAAACGTTTGTTCAAGACGCTAACTATTGAAAGGAGAATCTATACTGTGATGTGTGCCTTAAGGATCAACCCCTCATTAGACAGTTCTGTGCCAGTGATACAGAGGTGTTTGGCAAGACTGCTCTCCTGGCTCAAGATCACTGTGCTGCCAGAGATCTGAATTTGGGCTGTCCTCAAATGATCTCCAAGAGAGGTTATTATGGAGCCTTCTTACAAGAACAGTGGGATCTATGCCACAGAATGACTCTTTTGGAACATGAGAAACTCTCTGTTCTGGTCACCTGCAAAATCCACATCTTCACAGAAATACACAAGACTATGAAATATGCTCAGTTGCTGGAGAAAGCTGGCTGCCAGTTCATGGACATACCAAGAAGAGAAGGGTCCACTATCTGAAAATGCACCCAGGGAACACATAAAGGCCATCCGGAAGGCAGTGAATATCCCTGTATTTGCAAATGGAAACATCTAATACTTCCATGATGTGCATCCAGGAAACAAGGGCACTTGGAGTGATGAGTGCAGAGGGTAACTTACACAAGCCAGCCTTGTTTGATGGCCAAAACCCACGAGTGTGGGAGATGGCTGGGGAATATCTGGAGATTCTGCAGCAGCACCCCTGGCCCCTGGCCTACATCCAGGCTCACCCCTTCAAGATGTGGCATCACACCCTACAGATCTATCCACAGTTTCGAGAAGAACTGGCTAAAGCGACAACCTTGGACAGGATTGCTGATGTCAGTAGAGAGCTGGAACTATTTTATCAGGATATAGTCAGCCAGAAGGAAGGAGAGAAGCCCAACAGAGGACGGCCTATCTTCCACTGGATCTGGGTCTAAAGAGGTGAGCAAAGACAACAGCAGCACTGATAACAGCACACGAGGAAAGCAGACCTTGGAGGAGGAGAAGGATGGCAGCTCACACTTTCTCTCAAAGAACAAGCAGAAAAAGAAACTGAGGAACCCAAACAAAAACTTTGGCTCTTCCTTGAAACTGAAATATGCAAAGTGTGACCAGTATAGAAACCCAAAGGGCAACAAATATGTTTCTAACCTGTGCCAGGGAGGCTGCAAGAAGAGAGCTTTCAAAGAAACTGCAGACTGTCCAGGTCATGGACTACTTTTGAAAACCAAATCAGAGAAGCCCCTTTCATGGAAGGGTGGCTGGGCCAGCTTGCAGGAACCCCAGCCCAGGAACTTTAGGGTGAAGCAACCAGGTAGATTCCTAGAGGTTTTGTGTAGTACAGGACAAAGGGCCAGCTGGAATCCAGTCTACTCCCCCCCTCCTGCCATTCCTGGGCCCCTTTTCCAGTGCCACCGAGCCACTGCCTTCATAATGTTATCAGGACTGCTGCTATTGCCGAATTCCAGATAAGTCTTATTTAAAGAAACACCTTTACTCTGGGAAATCTGTTATTTTAACACAGAAGGAAATATTGTATGGTCCTTTCACTACAGGGCCCAAATTGGGACCTCTGGAAATGCTGCATTAAGAGAGCAGCTTCCCAGGGTGGACCTGCCTACCCACTGTCCTCATTAACCCCTTTGTTTTAAAAACTGAAAAAATACATAATCTTTTTCTATCATAAAAAAAGAAAGCACATACCAATACAAGTGGAAAGAGTGACAATCCCAATCAAAAATGAATGTTGCAAAAATTATTGAGAACAAAGAAGAGATACACAGACACCCCACACCACACTCCTTTGCAGGGTGGGGGTCCACGGGTGTGAAACACTGCATACAATAGGAGAATTTTTCAATGCATTTAGTTTTACTATTTTCTTTCTTTTCCCGTTTTTCTTTTCTTTTGAAAACAGTCTTTGTTATAAAGGAGTGGAAGTAGAGGGAAACAAGGAGAAATTTCAGGGATATAAAAACCAATGATGTCAATAAAAAACCATTTTTTAAAAAAAAGAAAGTATTAGAGACATTCCAAATAAAGGATTTACAAGGTCAAGTGACTAAAGATATAATGGATATGAAGGAGAGGGGAGACTCTAAGAAAAAAGTATTAGTATTTGGGAAAATGGTGATGCTAAGGGACAGGAAGAAAGAAATTATAAGGGGGAAAATGCTAATTGTAGTTTTGAAGCAGGTCCCTACCTTTACCACTATGTAGCACTCATCTAACCTCACGCCAAAATGCACAAGGCTTTCCTGATGTTGTTTTTCAGTCATGTTCAACTCTTCAGGACCCCATTTGGGGGTCTGTTGGCAGAGGTACTGCAGCAATTTGCCCTGTCCTTCTCCAGCTCATTTTACAAATGAGGAAACGGAGGCAAACAAGGTGAAATGACTTGCCCAGGATCACACAGCTAGCAAGTGTCTGAGGCTAGATTTGAACTCAGGAGGATGAGAATTCCTGACGCCAGGTCCAGCGCTCTATCCACTGAACCACCTAGGTGACCTGATGTGTTTAAATAACACTCAAATATGGGTTTTCAAAAATGAAGTTCTATCTAACCCAGGTGAATAATTTGAAAAAGATACATTTACCTTAAGTTTATATTACGTGGGGCTTACATAACCATTTGTCAAAGTCAAACAGTAAACATTTAATAAGCTCCTATGTGCCAAACACTAAGCTAAGCCCTGGGAATACAAGGAAAGGCAAAAAACAGTCCCTGACCTGAAGGAGATCACAGTCTAATGGGGGAAACAACAACAACAATAATAAACAGTTAACATTTATATAGTTATTACTATGTGCCAGGCACTGTGCAAGTGCTTTTCACAAATATTTTTTCACTTAATAAACAAGATACATGCAGCAGAAATGGGAAATAATCAAAAGAGGGAAAGCAGCAGCATTAACGGGATCAAGAAAAGCTCCTAGCAGTCACTGTCTACTTCTGAACTAAATGTCTCCACTAATAAATGCATTTAATTGCAGAAGCATTTATTTCCAGAAAAAAATATGCTATTTTCCTACAAAATAAAATTAACCCCAAGATGTTCATCTATATGTTCACCTACCTAGAAGTAAGTTGTACCAGAGTCCTTGCAGATTTCACTACGAGCAAAGCCCACAACTATAGGACATAAACTCTCCTAACGTCTTTAGAAAATCCCACTGGAGACAACAAGGTCTGTTTTTTGCACTTCCAACTAAAACTACAATCATTTGGAACTTAAGCACTTAAGTTTAAGTAAGTACACTAAGTTTACGACAGTGGCACACATTTCTATATAGAGCCTTAAGATTGCTACTTTCTATGCGCCATTTAAGCTCCTCTAAAAGTAGTCCATGAGTGTGATTTCGGAGGGTGCGCAGAAAGGACCAGAGGTCCTGGGCTCAAATCCCAGCTCTGCGGCTTCCTCTCTATGTGAACGGCGGAAGGTTACTCTCTGGCCTTCAGTTTTCCCGCTTGTGGAAAAAAAAAAAAAAGAAGGCCCTCAGAACATGGATCTAAAACCGCCCTACTAGGGAATTAGAAGCTGTCACTTCCGGCACCATGTGACTTTCAAAGATTTTTGAACTGCTTTTCTCATACGTGAAATGCATATAACGACTGGCTGAGCGCGCTTGGTTCCACTCCCCCTCCCACCACCGCTTCTAGTCCACGTGCCCCTATGTCCCAGTGCCCACCCCCTCCAACTGAGCCTGCGTGGTACCGTTTCTCTCGATTTCCACAAGCTGCCGGTTCCACGCGTCAGGGCGTGGGTCTGCGCCAGCACCTTTCTTCCACCTCAAAAGTAAGGACTTTTTTTTTGATATCATGGCTGCGGCAGGTTGGGAACGTGAGGGGCCCTCGGCCTACGTGTTAGAGATGCAGAAGCAGTTTCAGGGCCATGGCAGGACGGAAGAATACCAAGCACACACGGCCAGGGTATTCTCGGTGGCCTGGAGCTGTGATGGGGCTCGCCTGGCATCGGGCTCCTGTGATAAGACGGCCAGCGTCTTCCTCCTGAAGGACAGCTGCCTAGTGAGGGAACACAATTACCAAGGCCATAGGAAAAGCATTGACCATCTGTGTTGGCACCCTAGCAACCCCGACCTCTTCGTCACGGCCTCTGGGGACAGGAGCATTCGCATTTGGGATGTGCGCAAAACCAAGTGTGTGAGCGCCATCCAAACCAAAGGTGAGAATCTGAACATTTGCTGGAGTCCTGATGGCAGCACCATCGCGGTGGGCGACAGAAAGGACGTAGTTACCTTCTTCGATGCCCGCACCTACCAGGCCAAAGCGGAGGAATGCTTTAAGCTTATGGTCAATGAGATATCCTGGAATAATGATAATACTCAGTTCTTCCTTACCAATGGCAAGGGCTACATCACTGTCCTCAGTTACCCGGACCTGAAGCCTGTGCATTCCTTTAATGCCCATCCTTCTGACTGCATCTGCATCAAGTTTGATCCAACCGGCAAGTATTTCGCCATAGGAAGTGCCGATTCCCTGGTGAGCCTTTGGGATCTTGATGAGTTGGTGTGTGTGAGGTGCCTCTCGAGGCTGGATTGGCCTGTGACAACCCTCAGTTTCAGCCATGATGGGAAAATGCTTGCCTCTGCTTCTGAGGGCCATTTCATCGATATTGCTGAAGTGGAGACGGGAGACAGGATTTGGAAGATACAGGGTCAGTCTACAACTTTAACTGTGGCCTGGCATCCCAAATTTCCATTGCTAGCTTTTGCCTGTGACGACAAAGAAGGTCAACCAGAAGCTCGCCAGGAAGTGGGAACTGTGAAACTGTTTGGCCTTCCTAATGACTCATAAGGAAGTTAATGAGGGTCTTTGTGAAGGGAAAAAAAAGCTAAAGATTCAAATAGAAGTCTGCTTCAAGTGTTTATTCATCTGGATTGTTTGAGATGCTTCCAAAAATGTTTTTCCTTCTCTTTAAACCCTTTAAATGAAACGTTTTTCTGGACCCTAGTTTGCTCATCTGTTAATTAAGAGGATTGGACTGCATAGGTGATTTCTAAAAGCCCTTAACTCTGGACTGGCTAGGTGATTTCTAAGGGCCCTTAGAAACTCTAATAGTCAAGAATTCCAAGGTTACCATTTGCTGTTTTATTAAAGTTTGTTTACCTATATAAGTGTGGTAGCACATTGTTACAAGAGAAGTGTTTTACCTTAGACATCAGTGTCCTGCCCTATACGCTGGTAGGAACTTTATAAACATTTGTTGAGTTTTGATGAAGTTAATGTCTTTGCTCTTCTATTTGCAGTGGCTGTATGTGTGTTTGTATGTCTGCACACCTGTATGTGTGTGTGTGTGTGTGTGTGTGTGTGTGTGTGTGTGTGTGTAAAGAACAATAGTTTGGGAATCAGGATAGTGGAAAGAATATTGGATTTAAAGTATCAGTATCTGTTTTCAATCCCAGATCTACTACTCACCACCTATGTGACTTTCTTTCTCTGGGTCTATATCCTCATATGTAAAATGAACAGTTTGGGTTAAATTATGCCCAAGGTCCCTTCCTGGGACAAATTTTATATTCTTAAATCCCCTTTCAGCACTAATATTCAATGAAAGCTCTACAGAAAATATAAGCATATTTTACCTTGGGAAAACTAGTAAAACGAATCTAATTATAGTTTTAGGATAACAGACACCTTAATTTCCTTGTAGTTGACATGGGTACATATCTATAATTCTCATAAGTAATTATTATTCATTAAACCACATCGATAACATAATTTAGCCAGTCAGTCAACATCTAGTGGCTGTTCCTGTTCCCCATCCTAGTAGCTGTGGGGAGTTAAAAAGGAAGATAGGGACTTGGTCCTTGTATGGGCATGCAATTAGTACCCTTCTAGCAGGAAAGAGTATCATATGAAACTCCCATCATCCCCACTCTATAAAAAAGGGTTCTCAAGCCAGGATTTCATAGCATCCAGGACTGGCACTTGCTGACACATGGAGAAGTATTTGGGTTTTCAAGTAAGCTCATCATAGTTTTCCCTTTCTGTATAATGGGTACTTGACACCCATTAAGGAAAAAGAGAATTAAGGTTTCCGAAGCACACGATGCTTCATGCAGTTTATGAAGACAGTCCAGAGGAAACATTGTATGACCACTTATTTTTTACTTGTTTTGTCTATCCTGTGGTCCAGCTCACAACCTCTGAAAACCCCAGTCCAAACCAAAAAAAAAATGCAATACAGGCACCGTGCTAAAAGCTGGGGATACAAAAACAAGCAAAAGACAGTCCCTGCCCTCAAACAGCTCACAATCTAAAGGGGGAGACAACAAGCAAACAGGATAACTAGGAACTAATTAAGAGAGGGAAGGCACTAGAACTGAGAGTTGGGAAAGGCTTCTTGTAGAAGATGGGAGTTCAGGTGGGATTTAAAAGAAATCAGGGAAGTCAGGATGTGATGAGGAGAAGGGAGAACATTCCAGGGCTTGGGGACAGTCAGAGACAATACCTGGAGCTGAGAGATGGAGTACCACCATCATAAAGTTTCCTCTAATCCTTCACAAAAATGACATTCTCTGTGCTCTGCTTTTTTAGTCACAAAGGTACTTCTTCCACCAGCGTGACACATCCCTCCCATTCATTATTTAAGCAGGGCCATGAAAGCAAAGAAATGAAACTCCATCTATTCTATGGAACCAACCAGAGCACAGCACAGCCACATGGTCGGTCCCACTGGGGGAAATCAACTGTTAAAGCAGTTAAAAACACCAAATTGGGGGATGCTCAATTTAGTGACCAGGTGAGGAAATTGTTTATAGTACAACGCCAAACAAATGTAATGCTTCAGATAGCTTCAACTTTAATCCAGTGAACAAGGTTGGTAAATTTTACAGATGCATGGGAAATTTAAGGATGAATTTAACATATCAGGCTAATGGATGGGAAGGAAATGTACATATCTTCCTAGTATTCCTTTCGGAAGAAAATCATTAAGGCTGTTCTGTTCCTCTGTGGAATGTTAAGACAACACACTTTTCATCACAGCTTTTTTCAAAAGCTATTTCAGGGCCCCATTACTTATATTTGACAATCCACTACCCTTGATTAGTACTGTAGCTTACCATTACTGACAATCTGTAGAATATCAGCAAATCTTCCTCAGAATGAAAATAATTCTTTGCAACCTACAGGGTACTTCTTGTACTGTAACACTGGTGATTAGATCTTTAAATGGGAGTTTGGGAAACCTAGGGGACCTTAGTGTTCAGACAATAATTTTGGTTAGGAGTTAAGCTACTCAGAAAATTGAAAGAGGGTAACTCCATCTGCTGACAGAAAGGCAGAATTGCGGCAGTCACTTGATTATAATTATTTGCTCTCTGTGCTTGCACATCTCCGAGACTTCTAAATGCATTAGCAATTTGTATACCCAGACACATACTGAATCTGCTCTGTTATTTATAGCCATGCCACTAGCCACGCTTACAGGGCGCTTCATGTTCATCTTTTTCAAATTTTGATAAAAAAATTTTTATTCATATAAATTGTACTGTAAATTCAGCATCACCATTTCATATATCTATCTATATATATATCTATTATATATATATGTAATATATATATAATAGATATATATATATCTATATATCACATCCTTGGCCAATTATCTCAGCAAATTTGAATATGATTCTAAAGAAGCCAAATTCACAGGTTCAAGTCCTAATGAACATAACGCTGTGTTTTGCTCCATACTCAGACAGCACTACTGTAATATGATAATATTACAATAATACTGATAATATGTATAAATGTATAAAATTCAATATGTAGGATTACAAAGAAAACCAATTTTACTGAAATACAGTTATTGAAATATTTTAAAACCAAGTTTCCAGACCCCAGGTGAAGACTGCTGGCCCAATCCCCCCCCACCACCACCACACAACTGCCAAAGTGATTTTCCTAAAGCACAGATCTAGCCACATCCCGCTCCTATTCAGCTAACTCCAGTGGTTCCCCATTGTGTCTAGAATCAAATAAAAATTCCTTTGTTTGACATTTTTAAAGCCCTTCACAACCCGAGCCCAACCTCCCTCAAACTCTGGGCTCCAACCAGACTGGCCTTCTCAGTGTTCCTAACACAGAAAGCTCTGCTATACTCTTGCTTTCTCTCAGGCCTGGGAGGGATCTCTTCCTTCACTTTCACCTCTTAGAATCCCTTAGACTCCTTCAAGATTTAGCTCAGACATTACCTTATATATGAAACCTTTCTTGAGTCCCAAGATTCTGCTGTCATGCCTTCAAAAATTACCTTACACTCATTTTGAAAATCCTGTTTCTACTTATTTATGTATATATCTTCCCTGCTAGAGTATAAGCTCCTTGAGGAAAACCTTGAATGAACCCCTCCTTGAATGCAGGGACTGTTTCATTTTTTTTTTAATTTTTTATTTTTAGGCAATTGGGGTTAAGTGACTTGCCCAGGCTCACACAGCTAGTAAGTGTCACGTGCTTGGTCTGAGATCAGATTTGAACTCAGGTCCTCCTGACTTCAGGGCCAGTGTTCAATCTACTGCGCCACCTAGTTGCCCTTAGGGACTGTTTTATTTTTGTCTTTGTACTTAGTAAACGCTGACTGAAAGATTGATTGCAAGGCACTATGTTAGGGAATGGAAAGACAAAGATGGAACTGAGAATCACTGACAGAACCCTAAGTAGCAATTTTGGCACCAAGTTTCACAGAAAGCACTGGGGCCAAACACTAGGAAATAATCCTTCAAATTCACTTTTTTAGGACAAATTTAGTTTAGGAAGCACCCTAGGATACAAGTCCCTACTAGTAGGCTTTGCAATGACCTAGAGTCTTGATTAATGGAGACTGGTACCCTGAGGAAGGAATCTTTCCTATTTTATCTAATTACTAACTAGGTGCCAAGTTCCGTTGATTTTACTACTGTTACAACATAATTTTTATCAGCATCCTCTAAATTTCTTTTTTTTTCCAATTTTTTCAGTTAACAAGCATTTTCTCTGTACCCCCCAATGAAAACAAAACAGAAAAAACTTGTACTAAATATGCATAATCAAGCAAAACAAATTTCTTCATTGGCCATAACCAAAACTAAATCTGTATATTTGCTCCATCAGTTCTCTGTCTTAAGGCAGCTAGCTTTCATCTGGTCTCTGGAATCATGGATAGTAACAATGCTAACTAGAAACATTTAAGTCTTTCAAAGTTGTCCATTTTTCAATGTAAATTAAACTGGGAGATTTCTGTGAACGGAAGCAGAGTAAAGTGAGTAGGACTGGGAGAACAATTTATACAAAGACAACATTATAAGAAAAAAAACTTTGAGGGGCAGCTAGGTGGCGCAGTGGATAGAGCACCGGCCCTGAAGTCAGGAGGACCCGAGTTCAAATCCGGATTCAGACCAAACACTTGACACTTACTAGCTGTGTGACCCTGGGCAAGTCACTTAACCCCAATTGCCTAAAAGAAAAAAAAATTTTTTTGAAAGAACTATCAATGCTATGACCAACCACTATTCCAGGGGGCTGATTATGACAAATGTTGCCTACCTCCCGACTTAAAATGCAGAATAAGTCATAAATTTATGGATGAAATTGATGTGGGAATTTGTTTTGCTTATGCATGTTTATTTGTTATGAGGGTTTTATTTTTATTTTCTTAATTATTCAATTGGAGGGAGAGGGGAAAAATAAAAGTTTATTAAAAACAAAAATATGAGTTTGGGGCAAGAAAAAAATGAAATTTTTTTCCAGTCTTGGAACAAGTTGTTCATTTTTACAACATAGTTGTTAACATACACAATGTTCTCCTGGTTCTGCTC